AGATGGGATAGGGGGGAAAAAGGATGAGAAAATTACACCTTGGATGTGGGGGGAAAAGGATGAGAAAATTAGAAATTGGATGTGGGGGGAAAAGGATGAGAAAATTAGAAATTGGATGTGGGGGGAAAAGGATGAGAAAATTAGAAATTGGATGTGGGGGGAAAAGGATGAGAAAATTAGAAATTGGATGTGGGGGGAAAAGGATGAGAAAATTAGAAATTGGATGTGGGGGGAAAAGGATGAGAAAATTAGAAATTGGATGTGGGGGGAAAAGGATGAGAAAATTCCAGATTGGATGTGGGGGGAAAAGGATGAGAAAATTCCAGATTGGATGTGGGGGGGAAAAGGATGAGAAAATTAGAAATTGGATGTGGGGGGGAAAAGGATGAGAAAATTAGAAATTGGATGTTATGGCACAACTTGAAGTGACAAGTGTAATTCAGAGTGCTAATTCTTGATGGAAAATACTTGAAGCGACCCAGAGACCCTTTGTATGCAGAGCAGCCTGGCCAAAAGAGATGAACAAAGGCTGTTAAAAGTAATTTAACGTCACTGTTTAGAGAAGCCTTACCTGAATTTGCCTCGTAGAATGGTTGCTGTAATAGTGGTGACTGATGTGTGGGGAGGAGGCTGACCTCTCTTAACTGGAGCCTTGCTGGGGCAGGAGGTAGGACTAGGCCTGTAAGGCTTTAGCTGCACATCTCCCTTCCAAGAGCTTTGTCCACCAGGTGGTGCCAAGCCACCGCTTATTCCACCGGTTTTAGCAGAGGGCTGCTTAGCAGTGGAACAGAGCAGCTCTCCCCTCAGGGGTCCGTACTGGGACCGGTGCTGGTTAATGTTTTCATCAATGACTTAGACAGAGAGATCGAGTGCACCCTCAGCAAGTTTGTGGATGACACCAAGCTGAGCGGTGCGGTTGACACACCAGAAGGACGGGATGGCATCCAGAGAGACCTGGACAGGCTGGAGAGGTGGGGTCATGGGAACCTCATGAGGTTCAACAAGGCCAAGTGCAAGGTCCTGCCCCTGGGTCTCTATGATTCTATGATTCTATGATTCTATGATTCTATGATTCTATGATTCTATGATTCTATGATTCTATGATTCTATGATTCTATGATTCTATGATTCTATGATTCTATGATTCTATGATTCTATGATTCTATGATTCTATGATTCTATGATTCTATGATTCTATGATTCTATGATTCTATGATTCTATGATTCTATGATTCTATGATTCTATGATTCTATGATTCTATGATTCTATGATTCTATGATTCTATGATTCTATGATTCTATGATTCTATGATTCTATGATTCTATGATTCTATGATTCTATGATTCTATGATTCTATGATTCTATGATTCTATGATTCTATGATTCTATGATTCTATGATTCTATGATTCTATGATTCTATGATTCTATGATTCTATGATTCTATGATTCTATGATTCTATGATTCTATGATTCTATGATTCTATGATTCTATGATTCTATGATTCTATGATTCTATGATTCTATGATTCTATGATTCTATGATTCTATGATTCTATGATTCTATGATTCTATGATTCTATGATTCTATGATTCTATGATTCTATGATTCTATGATTCTATGATTCTATGATTCTATGATTCTATGATTCTATGATTCTATGATTCTATGATTCTATGATTCTATGATTCTATGATTCTTTCCTTCCTTTCCTGCATGCAGCTGTGTCCCTGACAAAGGGGACTCGGATCGTTCAAAGTGACTTAGCTCGGAAAGTTGTCAGTCTTTGAAGTGTAGAAGAGATTGAGCAGTCTTTGGTCAAAAATTCCTCACCGTGCCAAACTCAAATCGTTGCGCAGTAAATGACACTTTCTCTGTCCCAAAGTTACCACGGTATCCCTCTGGCTGGAAAACTGCCTCAGTCAACCAGACTTGGCTCTGACCATCGTGAGGTCTGGCTTCTGTATTACAGCGCACCTTGCAGTAAAACTTCTGGCTTTGAAAAGCGTAGACTCATTCAAATTTTATGGCTGCCTGCCTACTGAGCGTCCTGGGCTCAAATGCTTATCCTCGTGGTACACTGTGATTAAAAAGGACAGGTTGCTGCACTGGGGCTGAAAACTGAGCCTTCCGGAGGTCTCCTGCTGTTACAGTAGGCTCAACCACAGCCTTCTACTTGCCATAGGGAGCTGTGTTTTACCTTAAGCAAAGCCAGCAGCAAAAGAAACCCTCTGAATAGTAATTTTTTTGATTCTGCAGTAGTTTGGGGTTTGGGGTTTTTTTCTAAGTTGCTTTTTTTCAACACAGCCTAAACAGCACCAACCAGTAAATCTCAATTCTGACTCTTGCAGGTTAAGAAAGCGTACAGGCAGAAGGCCCTGACTTGTCACCCCGATAAAAACCCGGACGATCCCAGAGCAGGTAAGATGAGGCTGTGCAGACACAAACAGCTCTTTGTGTGTGTTTTCACACGTGCAGACTCCTGGAAGTGGCTCTGCTTAACTTCAGGTCTGTCTTTGCATGTAATTAAGGGAATGCCTGGGTATATGTCACGTGAATTATACACCTGCAGGACTAAGAGTTGTTTTCATCACTATTAGAGAGCTCGCTTTTTAAAGGTTGAATGCATACACGTTGGTTTTAAAAAGATCAATATGAAGTCAGTGCTGAAATTATGCTCGCGCCTCCCAAAATCTTCCCACGTGGTACTGGAATCCTGGGCCTTTGGCCATGCTGTCCCCAGTGTTTACTGGCTGGGGGCTCTTTTTTTTTCTGCAATAGCAAGCTTATAAACCATATTCTCTATGGGCAATGCCCGTTTTTGTCTCTTGGAGACAAGGCCCTGACTGACTCTGTGGAACTGAGTATACCTGTACTGCTAGCAGGGTCTGGCTTCCGCAGCCACGCTGGTTTTAAGTGTTGTAGCTACGGGTAGTAGTGTAACTAGGAGGATGCTGTTCCTTGGGACACCTCAAAATAAACATTGTTCTGGATCTTGCATTTTCCAGTTTGATGGGCTGCAGTCTTAGAGACTGCAAATCTGTAGCTGTAGTACAGAGAAAACTTTTTTCCACCAGAAGAAGATATTTTAGCAGCAGTGAGAGGAAAGCTGGGGACTTGGATCCCCGCAGAAGGCTGAGAAGTGATTTGAAGTGTGGTGGGGAGGCCTCTGGCTTATATGTGTCCAGGAAGAGGGTCAGCAATATTGATGGAAAACGCAAAGTTTGAATCTGGGGCTGAAAAGCTGTTGAAGTGAAAGGGAGAATTTGTTTGTAACGGCGTGTTTCAGGCTGGCTGCAGGCTGAGCAATACATTCCTGTAGAGGGCTTCTGTTGAACTGATGTTTTCAAGATTTCTGTTAAAATGAAATGGTCCCGGGTTTTGTTTCTTAATTTGCGCTGAAGTTCATGTAACAAATGTTGTCCTTTGAGTTAAGGTAATCCTGGCTACAAGTTGGCTTACAAATGCTTTGGAAAGATTATTCTTCTTTCTGATGTTCTGCAGGTCTCTTCCATAAGGGATTGTCTTTTCTGCTTCATCTCCAGGCCACTAGCATGGTTTTCTGCATCTTACCCTTTTTTCTTCTAATTCCCAGCGGAAGTCTTCCACCAACTGTCTCAGGCCTTAGCTGTGCTAACAGATGCAGCAGCAAGGGTAAGGATGCCCATCCCTTGTTGGGGTTGCGTGGTGTTACTCTCTGCAAGCATGTCGCAGAAGTACCGAAACTCTCCTCCTGTCTGCTCTGCTCTCTTCTCCGGTTGCGACCTCGCGAATGCAAATCTCATCTGTTATTTCCTGTAGTTCTCTGTGAGATCAAATAGTAGGTGCCAGATAAGAACTTGGACAAATGTTCTTTTCTGATTTGATGTGCTGGGAGTAGCTGTGTCCATAAGGGTGAGATACGGTCTTTAATAATGTGTTAGACCGGGGCATATCCCATTTAAAAAATAAATTATAACCACCACTGATTCAGGGATGCATTAAATTCCCATGATGATGGTGGGTTTGCGGTTCCCTTAAAGTCAAAGTCTGACAAATAAATAATATCTAGATGTGATTGCTGAGGCTCAAAGCCTTTCTTTCCATAGGCCATAAAAGTTGTAAACTGAAAAGCCGAATCATAGTCACCATCCCCATCCTTTTGCTGCAAGAGCTTTCCGGGCTGCCAGATGTAGCTTGGACTCTTTTCTTGCTGTGAGGAAGTGGCTGAGTGCCTACTGTTCAAGGCCTGAAAGTAATCTGGACATGTGAAGGGCAAGAATAAAAACAAAATAAAAATAAGTAACTCTACCCAGATAAACTCAGGAGAGAAGACGTATTAAAATTTCAGATGGTAAGGTTTAAAAACATGAAATAACTCTGCTCTTTTCAAACATTGGCAAAGCTTGTCATCTCCCTGCCAAGGGGCAATTAAGCTTTTGGCATCCAAGAACTCTTTGGCTTCCACATTTTAAAAAGATAAAAGTGTTTAGCGAACCCTTCCCATGCAGGAAGGAAAAATACCAGCTTTTCTAGTTGATTAAACAAGAGCAGTGCTTTCCTTTACAACTGTTCTCCAAGGAACATTGGAGCGTTTGTGCCGGTCGGTGCTTTACCTACTACAGCAAGATTCTGTGTAGGTTGATGAACAGATTATGAACTGGTTTAAACAGGTGCTAGTGAAATTCCCAGTTTGCCCCAGTTCCTAAGTCTCTACAGTGCTAAATGAATGTTAACGTGTTATTGCTGCTGCGGAGTTCTGACGCTCTTTGATCTCGTACCTTCATGTGAGTCAAACTTCTGTCTTGTGAATAAATCCTTCGTATAAAATAGACCTTTTTAATTGCAAAGCTTTGCTCTAAACCAAACCTGATCTGTTACCAGTGCCCCTAAAGCTACTTCTGGCATGTTCAGGAAACCAAAATAGTCTTCCCGCCTTTGAAGATGGGTCAGACTTCTCTCCAGTACGCTTTCCGGTTATTCCTGGTCTTTCTCACCCTTTCCGGCTCCATCTGGAGATCCCTGGGCCTCTTCTCATGTTTCCAGGGTATTTGTGTTAACTTCCAACGCTTTTAGGAGGAATCCTAGCAAGAAGCAGAAAATGCTTCACCTCTGCTTACAGTGTTTCAATGTCTGATCTCGCCTTTATTCATCACTCTCTGTTTTATCTCTTCTGCTTTATGTAGAGTTTCACGCTATCGTGTTGGTTCTTTGACAGGCGGCCTATGACAAAGTGAGAAAGGCGAAGCAGCAAGCTGCGGAAAGGACACAAAAACTAGATGAGAAGCGGAAGAAAGTAAAGCTTGGTAAGAAAATCAAAACTTCATTTTCTCTTGGCTTGAAGTCTTCGTTAGCTGGGTGTTTGCAGTGGTGTCCAGCGACAGGACAAGGGGCAATGGGTGCAAACTGAAACATAAGAGGTTTCAGTTGAATGTGAGGAAAAACTTCTTTACTCTGAGGGTGACAGAGCACTGGAACAGGCTGCCCAGGGAGGTTGTGGAGTCTCCTTCTCTGGAGATATTCAACCCCCGCCTGGATGAAGTCCTGTGTAGATTGCTCTAGGAGAACCTGCTTGAGCAGGGGGTTTGGACTGGGTGATCTCCCGAGGTCCCTTCCAACCCTTGCCATTCTGTGATTTCTTCTGCGGCTGGAATTCACCATTGATTACTTGGCTGCCCATTTGTGATGGCTGTGCTTTCTTTATGCCTGGTACAATATAGTAGCAGTCTGAAACCTCCTCCCACAGTCAAAACTGGGGATGGTCCTGCCCTGGGGAGGAATTAGGGTGTTGATGACTCTTAAGACTGCTGGTACACTGATGTGCCTGGGCAAAAGGGAGGAACCGGAGCTATTGGGACTCTCCTTTGAGATTGGTGTAGGTGTAGCCAAGTTTGTGATCTTTTCATTCACCTCTGGTCAGCAGTGAAAATTCTCTTTGGATTGAGATTGATTTAATTTTGTTTCTTTCTCTGCAGATCTTGAAGCCAGAGAACGAGAAGCCCAGACCCATGAAAGTAAAGAGGAGGAGATCAGGATAACGAGATCATTAGAACAAGAAGTAATGATAAATTCTTAGATTTCTTTGTTTCTTTTGAGAAGAATTGCTGAAACTCTTTACAATCATGATGAAAACCATGTGATGAGATGCAGCAAATCTATGTATAGCAGTCCGTCAGCCTTTTGGATTAACGCGTTCTGTGAGAGAGGGGCATATAGAAGGGATCTTGGAGCAGTCTGGCAAATGTGTCAATCCCGGGATTTTATTTTTTGTCTGCCCTTTTCCTTTTGCGTAGCAGACAGTAACAGCAGCTATCTGGTTGTACGCTGGCTGATAGGGACTCTGTGTCACTGGGAACATGAGGGGTCCAATTTTATGAGTGCTGGAGCTGTCAGAGGGGAACTAGCAGGAGGGTTGCCCCAGGAGATGAGTATAAGACAAAAGCTTTCCTTGGCAGTCTTTAGCTGGCATGAACCAGCCATGGAACTGTGCCCTCAGTTATCTGTGCTGTCTTACCTCTGCTGTAGATAATCCGCCTGCGTGAAGAAGGTTCCCGTCAGCTTGAGGAGCAGCAGAGGCTCATTCGAGAGCAGATCCGGCTTGAAAGAGAGCAGCACATCCAAGGTGAGAAGAGATGAGATCAGAGCCCTCAGCCAAACCACGTGCACGTGGGACTCCAACTCTTCTGTAGGCTCACATACAGGTGCAGCCTTCTGCCTTGGTCACGTCGCCGTATACAGGATCCTACTTAGCTCCTTTTTCAGGGATAAGTCAAAAGGGTAATATTTCTGTGGGCTCGCTTTCTTATACGTGGCATGCTGCTCTCTAACACACTGCTGCTCCTTTTCAGTACGTATTCTGAAGCATTGAATCTAGATGGTCTGATGGGGAGCCCCATGGTTATGCTGGGGGGAGCCTCAGGTCCTGCTCATCTGTCACAATTAAAGCAGTCGGTGTTGCAGACTCAAAATAGGGAATGATTCGAGTTTGCAAAAAATAATAGCTGTCATTGGGTTAGTACTTCTATATGCCCTTGGAAGTTCTCAGTACCTATCACCCAGAAGAGACTCAGTGGGGAGAATAAAGTTTTATTTAGTCTGTGATTGCTGAGGCTCTGCTTTCTGGAACTTGATTCTCATATGTTCCTTAGGTGTGTGCGGTCTTCATCCTACATTTGTACAAACATCAGCAACAAACCTGTCAGGAAATGAGCAACACACTGAACTGGAAAATGTCTGTTGCTTTCTCATGGGGGAAAAATATTGATCTATTGAGTTAAAAAAAAAAAAAGAGATCCAGATGCAGAAACTCTTTTGGGGATCCACCAGGGTTTTCCTGTATAACTGTATGTAAGCCATTCGGCCCGCCCTAGCCTGTCTTAATTTAATTTCATGTATCAGGAGTTGGGGAGGATGTTGAGCATTTGCTTAGTGTAAAACACTGAGATCCTTCCAATGAGAGCACATCATTATGACGTATTTAGTCGCAGGGCCAGATTAAAGTCTTAGGCTGGTTTTCCTTCTTTTGTCTACCCTTCGTTTTTTCCCACCAGCACAACCCTCTTGCAGGGGAAAACGTTGCAGAATCTAACAGGTCTCCTGCTTGTATTTTTACTTGGCTGTTTCTAGCCTTCATCGTGGCAAGTCTGGGCATCCTAGAAGGGGAAAAAAACTGACATCCAATATTCAGTCTGTACTGCAGTTCCCAATGATAGCGTGGCATGAGACTTTAGGGGCTGAAATGGTCTAGTGGGAAGCAGAAGCGTTTGCTATTGTCATACATACGTACATTCTCAGGGTGAATTTTGTGCTAAGTGCTCTTTAGCCAAGGAATTTTCACCCATGTCCTTCCCATCTTTTTTTTTATTTTTCTTTCCCCTCTTTAGGCAAGCAAGAAAGAAATGGAGCAGAAGGGAAAACAACTCCCAAACTCAAAGTAAGACATCCCTATAAAGCTGGGGTTTGGTGAAAGCTGCTAGAACATTATGCAGCTTTGGAAAACAGAAGGGACACTTCAACTCTTCTGAACTGGCATGCCCCTTTGTACAGTGGAGGTGAAGTTCCGCTGTCTAACGTGTGTCATGCATACAAACAGCTCCTGTCTCTGCCCTTAAAATACTCTTTCTCCCTCACCCTTTTCTCTACTGTCTGGTCTAGGTTTTTGAGCCTGAAATTGAGTTGTCTCTGCTTTAGGCATGGGGAAGCATCAGCTTATTACCCTGGTATAGCCATTAGCATGCTTTGAAGTATTATCTTTTTTTATTTCAGTGAGCAGTGTTTCTCCCTGTTCCCCAAATAATTTGTTCCCTTTGCACACTCTGCTGTTGAAATCACTGTCTTGGCAATTCTGGGAGTGCAGCTGTAAATAGCACGCTTGGTTGTTGTGCAGGTGGCAGGAGCTGCATTCAATGTGGCGCCACGTGTTCAAATGGACAAAATTAACCCGTCGTGTTTATTTCCCAGCTGAAATGGAAATGCAGGAAAGAAGACGAGACGAGAGGGGGATACTCAAAGGACGTTCTGTTGCGGATCCTACAAAAGGTCCT